TGGCAGGTCCTCCAGCCTGGCAGCCTGGTCTCTGACACCTTGTCCGCGGTGGCTGACCCCTTCGCGGCCCGGACAGAGCCCAGCCCGCCGCCCACCTCTCCTGACTCGCCCGACCCCGCGGCCCCGGCGCCCAGGGAAGAGGCCCGCGCGCTCGGCGCGGCCCCCGCGGTCATGCCCTTAATTGGGCATCGCGCCGCGCGGGTAGCGGGGTGGGCCGCGCTGCGCCGGGGGCTCCCGCGGGCCAGTGTCCAGTGTCCCGAGTCTGCGTTCAGCAGACACGTGGGTCAAGGCTGAGCTGGTCCCTGCCCCTCAGCTGGATGCCTCCCCCATGGGGCGGGGGCGGATGCCACCGCCTGGCAGTGGGTCGCATAGTTGTGGCCTCTTCTCACCTCCCAAACTGGCCAGCTCCGAAGCTGCCGCCCTTGCTTGGCAGGGACCCCGTTACACCCCTTCTCTGTCCCCTGGGCGGCAGCTGAGGGCTGGGGAAGTCAGGACAGCTCCCTCTTCCTCTTCAGAGGAACCAGCTCTGTGGCTTTTGGCAGACCCCCTCATCCTGCCCCAGGCCCCCTGGGCCTCTCTAGACCTGCCCAGACCCTTACTGCTGTCAGCCACCTGCAGTGGCCCAGTGCCTGTGTCCTGGCCCTGAGCAGGCATGGACACAGCCCTGGCACCCGGCCACAGAAGCTTAGGGGCCTGGGACTGCCCTGCGGGAGAGGGTCGAGGTGGGGGCCTTGGGCAGAGCCAACTGGCACAGGTTCCAGCTCCACGTGGCTGGCTTTGCTGGCTCTGCCCCCAAGGGCAGCTCAGGGAGAGAGGTCCTGCTGGGACCTTGCCTGGAGCCCTGTGGAACCGCCTCCACCCACTGACCGCGCCCAGGCCTAGGGAGGCTCCAGGACCCAGGGCTCACCTGCCCCCAGGCTCTCGGTGGGTCTTTCTCTGGGTCCCAGGCAGGGTGGGTGTGCCGCGTGGTGTGCATTTCTTCTTGCCAGCACTGTGGCCGCCCTGTTTGCCTCTGTGACGAGCTTATGTGGTCCTGGTAGAGACGCCCCTGTGACGATGGGCTCCCCAGCCTGCCCACGGCCCCCACAGGGAGTGGAGGGACATCTCATCCTCCACGCGGCCGGCCCGGACAGGTCTGGGGCAGGGGCGCAACCGCCCACCTGGGCT